GTCAAAAAATTATTGAAGCGATGGTAATTATTTGTTTTGTTATGTATTGGGCCAGAAATCACCAAAGCGAAGGTAAGCTTGTTAAAATTATTTATATACTGGGTCAAAAATTATTGAAGTGATGGTAACAGGTAATTATTTGTTTTGTTATGTATTGGACCAGAAAACTATGTAACTTCTATGAGTTGGGTAAAAACTTATAAAAAAAATCATTTAGGTAGTCTCAAGAATACCCAAGCTAAAACTCCACACTAAGACAGGCTCATACCCTCAAGTCATTAGTAATAGCACTATTTAATCTACCTTGTAGTCCTGATTTACCACTATATACATTTTACGGAAAACGTAGAAGACCGTTGTCAAATATTAATAACATTTGTAATTCAACTTCTCTCGGGCTCCTCTCAGAGTTATGACCTAAAGATAAATTTAAAACTAAATTAGATTCGTTTAATGTATTTTTAAATTTATTAATATATAATTATAAAGTGAGCAAAAATTCATGTATCAGTAATTAGAAAGTAGCGAATAATGTATATACTGTATAGAAACTTACATAGGAAGTGTCGGATAATTCACTGATTATTAAAATTATCTTAATCTAATAAGATATCATCTTGCACAAGGTACATGAAGTTGCAAGTGTGAGAATTTTGCGGGTATTTCTTTAGTTCTAGTAATATTTAATTTAAAAAAAAAGTCAATTAGATGTCATATTTAATTTAGATATAAAAGGTATATTTAATGTCATAATGATAATTAAATTCATATCATATTTAATTTAGATATAAAAGGTGTATTTAATGTCATAACGATAATTAAATTTATGTAATAATTAGCCGTATAAGTAGATGTCATATTTAATTTAGATATAAAAGGTGTATACGTATAATTAAAAAATATGTCATAATTAAATTCATGTGATAAATTAACCGTATAAGCTCTCTTGTTTTATTACTATAGGTAGGTATATAAAGCTTCGTGCTAATATGCTGTATATGTTTACTTCGCATTATGGCTAGTAATTCAACTAATAAAAAACAAAGTTATACAGTAGCATTCAAACTTGAAGTAATATTATGTGCTGAACAAACTTCTAAAAATAATGCAGCTAAACAATACAAAATTAATAGAAAAAGAGTCAAAGAATGGATAAAGCAAAAGTCAGAATTTGAAGCTATAAAAAATAATAAAAACTTAAACTCAAAACAAGTACGGGTACTTAGTGGTTGTGGATGAAAATTAATGTATCCCGAGTTAGAATATGAATTCTTAAAATTTGTTAAGAAGATGCGTGAAGAAAAAAATTGTGTAACAACATTAATAATTCGAGATAAAGCATTAGAGTTTGGAAAAATACTAGGTTTAGAAGACTTTAAGGCATCACGTAATTGGGTTGAACAATTTAAATATCGGAATAATCTAGTACAACGAGCTCGAACACAAGTAGCACAAAAATTTCCAGAAGATGCTCTATTAATTATTAAAAAATTTCTTAAAAATTCACAAGAAACAACTAAAAATATTAATAAAGAATATATTATTTCTTTTGATGAAACTCCTATATGGTTCGATATGCCATGAAGCTCAACAATTGATTTTCGAGGTGTACATAAAGTGCTAATAAAAACAACTGGAAATGATAAATTACGGTTCACCGTTGTTTTAGCATTCACAGCTTCTGGCAAAAAACTTCTATCAGCTATAATATTTAAATTAAAAAAAAATCTAAAAGGCAACTTTCCGAAGGATATTGTATTAATCATAGCACCCTGTGCTAATATGCGAGGTGATCTAATGCTTTTCATATATATTTCTCAGGTAGGAATATTTTAAAAAAGTTGACTTGCATAAAATATTACATACTTAATAAATGTATACGTATATGTCTCGGATTAATGCTTGCTACGTAGCCCAATAGCTTTAATCTGACGCAAGTATTGATCTCAGACACAATATATATATCCGTATGATTATGAAATAACGCTTCAGGGCAACGATATAAACTATAATTTTATTAATTGAACTAGTGATAATAAATCAAATTATAGTTTATACTGTCATTTTTTTTTGTTTTTATAATACCTGGGGTATTATTTCATGATAATACAGCATTAGATAGTATATTAATGCAATGCAGATATATATATACTAATACATAAAAATTTCTTGTTTTAAACTTGCTCTTTCTATATTAGTAAAACTAATTTGAGTCACTTCTATCTTTAGGTTATACGATCCAGACCAGGTGGGTTTCTTAAACATAATGGAGTAATATTTGTAGATCAACACCGCAGTCATATCCGAGATGATGTTATTGAAGCACTAAATGCTGAAGGATTAGAAGTCTTACAAATACCAAGTGCAACAACTAGTGTATTGCAACCTCCAGATGTCTCAGTCAACAAACCATTTAAAGATACAATTAGAAAAAAATGGGATAATTGGATGGTTTATGGAAAAAAAGAATATACAAAAAAAGGCAATTGTAAAAGAGTATCATATGAATTAATTAGTAAATGGGTATCAGAAGCGTGGGAAGAGCTCAATTCTAATATTTTGATAAAGTCATTTGAAGCAACAGGTCTTGTGTTTTGTTTTGCTTTTTTTTTTTTTTTTTGTTTTTTAATCTTACCGTAAAAAGATACCTTATAACGTGTTTTTAATACAATTATTTATATTGACTATATAACAGGTCTTATATTAAACCTGAATGGTTCCGAAAATTATAAAATGTCAAATCGTCTTCAGTCTATTATTTCTAATGAAAATATTGAAGAGTTAATGTTAAGTGAAGATGATATTCTAGAAGATGATTTTCAAAATACAATAGAAACTGACAGTGAAGAAGATATATTGGAGGTAATAGAAATCGCTACAGATACTACTGATACTGAAGTATCAGAAATGGAAATTGAAAAAGACATATTCGAAACAATAGAAGTAAGTAATAATGATAAAAATATTGTTATAGAAATAGATAACAGCGATGTTGCAGTAGGTAATAGCAAACATACTGGCATTGTTGAAGTAATCGAAATAGATTAGTTAGTACTTCTTGTTAGACATAATTTCCAACAGTGCATATATGTAACTTACTGGTATAGTAAATAACTATAAAAAAGTTCGATTATAATTGTGAAACATAAATTTTCTAAATTTGTGTCAAAAAAGTTAATCTAACTATCTAATATTGGGACGTTGCATATCATATGATTAGTGCAGCGCTATACCTATATAATTTACACTATTTAACAGTTAAGATTTTTCAATTTTTGTCGATTATTTATTATAAAAAATTCGTAATTTATTATAAAAATCACGTATCTTTAAAACATTCTAACTTCTGTTCTAGAAAAGCAAATTCAATTCTATAACTTGCAAGTAAATATTAGAATAGTATAGTTTTAAAACTATGTTGAGACATTTTTAAATTTATTTTGACAATATAGTTAAAAGATCAAATATTTTTTTAGTCGTGAATTTAATAGTAAAATATTCACGATTAATAAGTTTATACTATCGAGGCCTGAAATATTTACATATAATTCTTAAATGTCGCAACATAGTTTTATAGCTACACTATCCAAATATTATTTACAAGTTGCA